TAAAAATTGAGAGAATTTCTCTGCACTCACCAGCGTGAAAAAAGTTAGGCTTCGATGAAACAACACGGAACACTAGAACAACACACTATCCCGATATTATTATTATAGAATCGAATGAGGAATACAAAAACACTATATACGAATCAATACAATCACTCAGTTTTCAGGGAACACTCAGTTTGGAACGATAAATAATTCCTTTCGCGTATTTTTCGTTGTCGATCACAAAATTCGACCGAACGTGATGACATTTAATATAAGACTGTCTTGATTTACCACCTGGTCCCGAATGAATGACGAATAGGTTGAGTCATGCTGATAACCGATTAATTCCCGAACAAATGATTTATCTATGACTAATGATGATAATGGAATTATACGGGGGGAAATCTATGACTGATGATGATGAAATTATACGGGCGGAAAAGATATATGATATACAAAATATAAGATGAAGTATTGAACACGGATATACTGACAGTATTATTTTCGAAAGTCTAATGATTGAACACAGGCTGAAAATATAATCTTTTCCAAAATCTCTAGATATGTTCTGAAAACTGGAAAGAGTAGGAAAATAATGAACAATGTGGCCTACTTTTTATAAGCGCGCATCAAATTTGACATTTGTGTGTGTGAAAATGCACAAGAAAATAACTGAAATAATTATTGACAAATTATTCTATGGAACAAAATCCATCGATAGTTCACCTAATTCAGCTCCAATCAAGTAGAAATTTGAGGACTGGTTAGTTTTTTTCAATGAAATTGGATTTTGAAGTACGAGTTCAATAAAAATTCTATTCTTCTAATTGGATGCGCACTGTTAAAAAATAGGCAAATTTATTGATTTTTCCTGCTCCTTGCAGATATCAGAACATATATCTACAAAATTCTAATATAGAGAGTGTTGTTATTGAGAAAGAAGAAGTTTTCTGTTTGCCTGAAGACGGCTCTGGATTCTAAATTCGATTCCTATCTAGTTTTGATGAGTGATATAAGTTGAATATACCTACCTAAGTATGAATCGATTATACACAGTGGTTCAAAAGTTATGACCTGACCATAGATGAAGATATTGCCAAAATCGAGATTACGTTCTGTATCACAGTTATTAAAGATGGTAGATTCTTAAAAAATACAGTTTCGATTAGAAAGCACGAAAATCAGAAGAAAGCATTTCTTGATCGAGAAAAAAATCCAGTTTCGAACAGAAAGCACGAAAATCAGAAGAGAGTATTCCTCGATCGGAAAAAAATATAAAAGCACACTACTCTACCTCATCTCTATATCGAGAATCAGTCAGGAGAAATACATGAAAATATGCATGCTTATATTTTATCATTTAAAATAATTTCAGCAATGCGGTGTTGCCGTTTCTATCAAAAAGTAGCAGCAACTTTGTTATATCGAATAGAATACCCTGTATTTCATTCCATTTTCAGATTCTCCCTGGAGAGCTGATTTCATCAATACATCAAACTTGGGGTCTATCGGGAATGAATACAGAGATAAAGGGTGTTCAAAATCGAGATTTTTCAACTTTAGGATTTGTTTGTGCCGAAACTATTCATTATCGGCCAAAACGGCTCACATGTCCCTATCTCAACTTTTCATTTACCATTTACTGATATTCAATCGGAACAGATACAGGGTGATCAGAATTCTGAATCTTGAACCAGCCAAAACACCCAACCCCTTGCCCCTCGCCAGTCATCAATGTACTTTACTTGTGAGGAAACAAATTGCTTTCTATTGTGAAGAAATGACGAGAACCAACTAAGACATACACCTCTTATTCCATACATTTCTAATTTCGACCTCAGTTTTTGATAGTTGACAGTCGAGAGCTCGACGAAGATCTCAAAGAATTACCGCTGGTCATTCACCTGAATCAACGTATTCTATGATTTGGTTCAGTAATTAGAACATAGCTGTGTTCGTAGATTTTCCAGAACGAAATCCATGCTGCCTATTACTCAAGACAGAATGTTTATCAAGAAGCGAATTAAGACGTTCCGAAAAGGCATATTCGAAAACTTTCGAGAGTCCACAAGGGACTGTTACAGGACGATAATTTTCCACAAGGGTTGTGTCTTTCTTTTTGAAAATAGGAGTGACTTCACCAGTTTTTAACTTGTGTGGAAAATCACCTCTCACAAATGACGTATTTACCAGATGTGTTGATGGTAATATTATCTTTTCAATATAAACATCGGTATGTCATCTGGACCAGACGATTTTTTATTCTTTAGTTTGTTTTTTCACAATGACAGTAATTCATGTTCCGTAAATGGGTTCAGAAACATTGTGTAAGGGTTGAAATTCTTTTCTATATATAAAAAATATGCCGCTCTTCGACCGAATGATTTGGCAGAAAAACGTTTCTTCTTGAATTACCAGAACGGAAAATGTACTAGACAAGTAGTCGGCATCAACAAATTTGGTAGTATGGCAAAGAGAATTGCAATTTTTTTAAAATTGGAAAATCCCCATTTATATACAGGACACTGCTTCAGACGTTCTTCGGCAACAATTTTAGTAAATGCAGGAGGTGACATATTAACCTTAAAGCGCCATGGAGGATGGCAATCCAGTACCGTGGCAGAAGGATACGTCGGAGACTCTATTAAAAATAAAATGGACGTTGCAAATAAAATCGTCGACTCTATTGAAAAACCAGTAGAACTATTCACTGAAATGGAGACAGAAAATGCACCACTGTACATAAATAATCAACCTTCAACTTCTACTTCTACAATTAATATAACAGAAAATTTACTCAAAAACAATGACTTTCCTGGTTTGACCATACAAAATTGTAAGAATTTCACAATTAACTATAATTTCAAATGAATAATTCAACTGTTAAGAGGTAGGAAACTTGTTATTATGTTATGTTATTTTAGTTCTGCTATAACCCATAAAAAATAAAAATTGAGTTACATTGTTCTTTGAATATGTGCAGTCGTAGAAAAAGTATAGTGTGCAACATGTGGGGAAAAGTACTTTCCTCACTCGTGTGTTTGCGGCACTCGCCTTTCAGGCTCGTGCCACAAACTTCCACACTCGTGAGAAAAGTTGAACTTTTCCGACTTGTTGCACAATATACTATTACAGGATAGGCGCACGTAATATTTCATTACCTATCCCGTAATGAAATTTTACCGGATTGTTAATATTGAAAACTCAGTTATGCGTCAAAAGCATGAATACATTCATTAAAAATTCAACAGCAGAACAATACACAGAAATTACTTTGCTAATATTAATATTAACCGTTAAATTTTCGTTCCCATGAATATGGATACCAGGAGCTCCATTGGATGAATTATTTATTAGGGAGTTGCTACTTGCTGATAGATGAAAACTCACCAATTCCAAAAAATAAGCCATCATTACATCTTCATTCACAAAATTCACGTTGCTGTCCATTTTCCATTGACAAAAAAGCTTGAATTCTTTGTCATAACGGAGTGACGATTTGTTGGGTATCAGATGCCCCGTAGCTTCATGTGATTTGCGCAAAATATCCTCAGAAATGAATAATTGATCTTGAGCTGTGTCCTGAGCCATTTCGTGAAAAACGCGTAAAGACAATCACTGACAGTATTTTTTAAAACAAAAATTATGTTTCTAAGGACCTGCCAGCTATCTTGGGAGTGAATGCAAAATTCTGAAATTACTGGACGCAGATAAATAGATTAATATTCTATTTTTCACTGTTCATTTTTGTTTTTTACCAGTATGAAATAAAATGTTATACGTCACACGTCCGGTAAACTTTTACAGTACTCGTTTCGAAATTCCGGACTCGGCTTGCGCCTCGTCCGTAAACATCTCACTCGTACTGTGAAAGTGTACTTACCGGACTAGTAACGTTAATATCTATTTTTTCAGGAACCAATCGAACATTTCATATTCACGGAACGGAAAACTACTAACCGAAATTATTTATTTATTTTATTTCAGTTATTGCATTACATTCTTTTCTTCATTGATACATTTCATACAAATAATATATAAAGTATAATTAATTTTCTAGTAGGAATGACATGAATGATCAGACAGTAATTCCTGGTATAAGATCATTCATGAAGTATTATCGACTGTTGTATAATTGAAATTACAAATAGTGAACAAAACTTACATATCATTAAGATACAGTCATATTATAGTGAACGAGAAGGGGAAAAATAAAAAGAGTGAAAAAAAAAAAAAAAAAGAAAAAAGGAAATTCATGGTCTTTCAGCTTTGATCATTCCTTTGCATATAAATATATTCCTTAACTTTATTTTTGAATTGCATAATATTTGGGCTGTTTTTGATATCATCTGGTAATTTATTGAATTTCGAAATCGCCTCATGTGTAAACTTTTTTTGCCCAAGTTTAGAATTTGCAGCTTCAAGATGAAACAAGTTATATTGTCTAGTGTGATGATCATGAATATCAGAATTCCTGATTTACGGAACATACCCTAAATAGTACTTTTATGAACCGAATTTGTGAACAATTGAGAAATATGCTTACTATCGACTAATTTTTTATTATTTTGTGTAACTAAGTGAGTTTGTGGGTTTTATTTACCATAACAATATTATAGATGTGAATTTCATTATTCCTTCATACATTTTTCGAATTCCTCGTAACAAAATATATTCCCACCAACGTTATTGGAGTAGACTTAGTCAAGAATACTGGTTTGAACTACCACCAGCTGCTTTATTGCTCAACTAAAGTCGGTATTTTGTATTATTTTCAGCATAATCTTATACTATTATTTTTTCAATAATATTACGGTGTGAAATTTTCTTAGCAAATACAACTCGACCTTTAATTAATTAAAAACCGGAATTTTTTTTCGATCACGAATATTTAAATAATTCTCCCTCGACTTCTACTCGGGAAAATGTTCAAAATATTGGTTTTCTCAAAAATATTTCCGGAAATAATTGATGCTCTCGTGGTATAAGTGAATATTTCTGATGGACATTTTCAGCCCCCTTGATATCGACGCCCCTGTACAAGGTCCTCTACCTTATGAACCTGATGATGCACCTTGGAAGAGATCCGAATCTGGAATAAGGAAGTTGTAAGTGAACTTATGAATGATCTAAACTCAAACTTGAATCCACGTACATCTCATTTTACGCTCTTTGGTAAAACTGCATTTAGCATGCGATGGGTTTTTTTTTCGAGAATTTTTTTTGGTACTTACGTATTTTTGTCTGAGAAACACGAATTTGACAATGATAATGTGAACAAACCACTATTTGTCGAGATAAGAAAGTTCTAAATTTCGACTCCTTTTTCCCCTTGTGTTGGATGCATTTACGGGTAAAATGCTCTTTTTATTTTGTCATTGGACACTTTATATACTCATGATGACACATTTTTATACAGAAAATTCAACAGGAAATATGATTTTTATGGCGAGTTTTTCATATTCAGTGAACAATCATACCAGATGACGGCCATTTAATTAATAGTCAATCCAAATACGAGATGTCAAATGTCAACAGAGTGCTTTTGAATGACATTACACACGCCATTATTTTAAATGATATTCTTCCTTCTTTTCACTAAATATGGATAAATCACAAGAAAATCATATTTCTAGTTGACTCAATGATATATATAAATTGTCCAATAAAAAAAAAGGTAAATTGTTTTAAATTCAATCCAGAAGACAGGCGGAAAAGAAAGTAAAATTTGTAACTTTATAGTGAAATATCTTAATAAATAATGGTTTGTTCACATTTTCATTATCAAATTCGTGTTTTTCAGACAAAAATACGTAAGTACCAAAAAAAATTTTCGAAAAAAAATTCATCGCATGCTAAATGCAGTTTTACCCGCTCTTTAAAGAGTCATGTTGTTGAACAGCTGAACTAAAACCATGAGATCTCGCATGAGATGAAACTATGTTATACAGGGTATGTCACGACGAGCTTACACTATCTTTATATCGAAAATCAGTCGGGAGAAATCCATGAAAATAAGCATTTTCATATTTTAGAATACGCCCTCTTCATTTGAAATATTTTCGATAATTGATATTTAGAATGGACCACCCTGTATTTTATCGCATTTTTAGATCCTCCCTGAAGAGCTGATTTCATCGATGTGTCACACTTGGGGTCTATCGAAAATGATTACAGAGATATACGGTGTTCAAAATCTAGATTTTCCAACTTAAGGATTTTTTTTTGTATGGAAACTATTCATTATGGGTCAAATCGGCTCACATGTCCCTATCCCAACTTTTGATTCACTATTTACAGATTCAGAATTCCGATAATGAATACTTTAGACCAAAACAAATCCTAAAGTTGAAAAAATCTTGGTTTTGAACACCCTAAATCTCAGTAATCATTTCCGATAGACCAAAAGAATAATATGTATCGATGAAATCAGCTCTTCAGGAAGAATCTGAAAATGCTATGAAATACAGGGTATTCTATTTGAAATAACAAAGTTGTTGCTACTTTTTGGTAGAAGCGGCAACACTGCGTTGCTGAAAATATTTTAAATTAAGAGAGCGTGTTCTAAAATATAACCATGCATATTTTCATGGATTTCTCTCGACTGATTCTCGATATAGAGATAGTGTAAGCTCGTCGTGACTTACCCTGTATATCAATTTTGTATCATTGAATTTGAAATGCATTACCATGAAATGAATATTGGAATTTCAAGCTTCAACAAACACTTGAAAGGCCTGTTCGTTTGTGTTGCTGAACTTGCTAAAGTTGATTATTTTTCCATAGTTGTCTCTGCTCATTGCATGATGTAAACAGAGAGAGTCATAGAAAACAATCAGGTTTAGCAGGTACAGCAAGCACAAACGAACAGGCCTGAAATGTCTTTTCGTCTTTAGCTAACTCAAATAAATGGCAACCATAATTCTTAGAATTTCTGCATTTTGTTACTGAACAAGATATATTGGAAAACATTTCCGCGCGGATGCCGATTCAATTTTCAGAACTACCGTTGTATATCTGAGGATGATGACGATTCGGAAATATCAGTGGTAAAAAAAAACTTAAATTCTTTATTCTTTCTAATTTTGACAATTATACAATTGCATTGAAAGTTGTCACAGAACTAAAATTACAACGGTTACAAACACTACAATTAAAAGTTAAAATTCAACCATTACACATTCACATTCACTGAGATATGCAGGTACTAAGTAATCACACTTCCCTATGAGAAATTCTTTGTTTCTAAGGAAACATTTATAGAATTATATTGAAAAGTTCTTACAGTACTAGAATTTAAATCGTTAAAAACACTTCGATTAACACTCAAAATTGTATGGTTACCAGCATTCATTGAGATATTCACTGACTGAGTAGTAACACTTTTCTATAAGAAACTGTTTCAATGATTTTTTGAATACATATAAACTGTCAATAATTTTTATATGAGGTGGTAGATTATTGAACAATCTAGGGCCCATGTAATTTGGAGATCGATTGCTCAACTTTAACCGGACTGATTGAAAATGTATAATATATCTTTCTTGTGCCTAGTATGATAATTATGCACATCATCATTGAGAGTAAATTCCTTTTTGTTACGAAAAACATACAAACATGCTTCATATATGTAAACACATGGCATTGTCAATATTCCAAAGTTTGGTGACAAGCGTGTCCTCAAATTTCAAAGAGCACGAAATGAGAAGTTCCAGACACTCTAACATAAATCGCCAGTCCCATAAAAAACACAAATTCTTCATTAAACTTGCACATAGTGCTTTTGTCTTAATTTCGCCTCGTTAAGTGACTTAACTCTAATGAAAGGCTATGGGGAAGTTTTCTATATTGAGGTTTTTCTCTCACTGTGAAGTTTGTAAAAAAATTAATAGATACGTATTTTTTTCTTTTTTCGTAAGATCAAATTTCACTTCAGAAAAAAATAAATAAAAGAGGTACTTGGCTCCTCCACCATTTCTATGACGTACTTTCTGAAAATCCACATTCACACAGAGTTAAGATACGTTTCCCTGTTGCAATACGACGTTGCCGACATCATCAATATGTCTAGATTTCCGGAAATTGTTCTTTGAATGCATAATAACTATATCATAACAGCAATGGGATATAATAGGCTCTTCAATCCTACTTTGTCAAGTATTGTGAATAATTCCCATAAATCTCTCATTGGCTGAATGAAGTTGATTACTAATTAAAGATAAATTATTTTGCGATAGTATCTATAATTTTTCACTATCGTTATATTACAATATGTTATTCATAACTTGTCAGTCATTTTTTTGCTAATGAATTCGTTCCTTATTAAAACGGATCTAATTTCAATGCAAGTTGCAGATTATATCTTGCAACAGCGCCTAATACTTCGAGTCCGTCCACACCACTCAAAATACTGACAGGCACAACAAGAGGAAGGAGCCATGGGTGTCGGCTTCATTCTGTTCTGACCGATGGCAGTAAATTAGGAAGGATAGTATCATTGAATGTAGCCGATAGTGATTCATTGATTCAATGATATGATCGTTTAGGATCGAGCTCTATTCGAGATATTTCAATGCATAAATAACAAAACCATAACCTGTCAGAATGAAGCCAACTACCTTCTGCATTCCTGCTTCGAGTGTATGTTTTTGTTAACCAGTTTTACTTCTTCTATTGTTTTCAATCGTTTTTCATTCTCTAAAAAATTAGAAATTGCTTTAATTTGAAAATGAAAACGACTTGGACTTTATCGGTCGCCATTCTGTACAGCGTGGACATAAAACTGGAGAGTTCCGAACTTATTTTACGAAAATTCATCTGAAGGAAACTCCCCCATTATAAAATGACATATTATTGTTTATCTCCCCTATACAAAATAGTGTCAAAATGTTGATTCTGGAGTAGAGAAAATTTGCTAAAAAGTTTGTAGCCTTCGAAGTCCTTTATAAAAATGTAATTTTTTCTCTAGTTTTCGGAAGATCTTTTCGGAAAGCAGTGATGGAGGTGGTTTTCCTAAACGTAGTCTCTCCACACTGTCTAAGATGGCTCTGTCATCGACTAGCGACCCCATACCTGTCTAACAACGCATCAACTTCCCGTGACGTCATTATGGAATCTCATCTCAGTTTGTCAAATCTCATATATGAATTCGTTCATCATCCTTTATGAATTCGGAAATTATGTATCTTTGTGAGTATCTTTAGTTTTTTGCACATTTCTCGCATAGGACTAACCCACAATGATAAAAATCATTTGGTATCGTTTACCTGAGGCGAAAATTCCTATTAATTAGGTAACTAAATAATTATTGAACAAATATTTATTTATTATTCCAAATTTTTTGGGATTTTCTCTCCTCGTTTCTATAAAATAAAAATATTTATTTGTTCACGTTTTAGGTGCAAACAGGTCTAACCCACAATAATAAAAGTATTGGGCTACTAGACTGATAGTGAATAATTAGTATTCAATTACTCTACTGTATCGTTAGGGACCTAAATTAATTTTTGCAATACTTCTAATAAGAGGAAGATATGATATTTCGAGCAACCAACCTGTCAAAATATTTCTTGTATTCCATATAACAAAACATGTAAATATTAGCTGTAGACTTGGCAACATGTGCTGAAAACTTAGAACTGACAAGGCAACGCCCACAATCCTATAGCCGTGTTGTCACGTTCACCGGACCAAATGTCCTCTAGTGTGAATCAATATAATTATTATAATAACACAAATTTATTATAATTATTATAAGCAATAAGAAGCAACACATAAGAGGGACAATTTTAAGACAATAGATATTTTATTGCTTCAAGATTACATACATAATAATTGAGAATTCATGAATTATCAAACAAATAATATTTCTTAAGTGGAAGTGGTACTTTGAAAATTTCGGAACCTCAGGGGCAACGGGTGAGGCAGAGGTATAAAATTCACTACTGGTGGGTGGAGCTTAAACACTACGCCGATGACGATAAAACCATTACTCCTTTGTAAATCCGTTCCTCGACCGAATTACGAGGGGGAGTCTGAAACTTCAGTACGACGCGGCGACCGCGCTTGAAAGCTTGAAAATAGTTGTCATCTGGGTAATGGATGCGTTCATTTAAATCCAGCAAGGTGAATTCATTCCGGATTGCAAATAGCGAGAAAAATCATTCCGATTTTGAAGCTGATGCAATTTCTTTTTTCATTTTCAAGAGATAAGTTGTCAGTATATTCCGAGGTATCGTCCAATGATTTTCACGCGACTGTAAAGCTGTTGTTTTTATATTCTGTCGACACTAATTTCTCCTCGAATTATATTTTTACACAAATTGTTATTTGCTTATTGATTTATTTGAAGTTGTGTAAAACGTGAAATAATATTGAAAGAAGAAATGGAATAACAATAATTCAATACTATTATTTTACTTGATTTTTTGGGATTTTCTCTCCTCGTTTCTATAAAATGAAAATATGCGTATTATTTCAATATATTTGTAGTGGGACAAATCAGATACTTGTCAGTGACAATTTGTATAAAAAAATGTTTGATAATGAAGAACAATCATCATTGAAAGGAGTGATGATTCTATTAAAAAAAATAGTTCACTTGCCTAATGGCCTAAGCCACAATGATAGAATAACCGGTAGCCATGCACTGTGTATGAATATTTCGTACTTTTTCAGCTAAATAATGATTTAGCAAAATTGTGGGTTAGAACTATGTGCTTAACCCCTAATTTTTGTGATCTTATATCGAAAAGAATGACATATTTCATGGATACTTTTGATTGTGGAATTTTTTCACTCATCCCGGTGATACGAGGAAAGCGTTTGCTGGTCTTAGATATACAGGGTGATGGTACTTGGTGATGGAAATTAAAATAATCACCCTCTATATCGGATTACGTAAAGTCAACGAATGCTTGCTCATATTAGTACTGATTTTTGCAATATTGGGTGGAAAAATAGTTTTTATTTTATGAGTTGATATTCTATTTGAAATCTTTTTTGAATATTCATAAATGATGTAATGGAAAATTAGAAATTTAGTTGTTTCACTGTATTTGAATAAACTAGGACCAATTTGAGAGAGACTAGAACTAGTACATTTCACGACTCTTATACAGGGCGGACTTACTCATAGTAGAGCACACACCATCATTTTCATCCATTCAACGTACTATATTATATTTAACCAAGTATTGGGAAAACATTGCACAACAAATTGTTTATAGAATATAGTGAAATTATTTATGAAAATTGTGTGATAATTCTTCCATATTTTATTCATACTCACTAGGATATTGGTCATAAGTTGAGGCCTATTTATAGTACTCAGAGGTTGAATTATTTATTATATTCAGGATGTTCATATTTCATGTGGACTTTGGTAATCATAACTTTGCTTTATTTCACATGGTTCACAAGATTTCCACTAATGAGAGTTGATATTATTGATTATTTGCTGAAAATGTCCCCCCTTAATTTGACATATCACCGGACAACGAAAATTACAGTCCACATGGAAAATTCCACAAATATATAGGGATGAAATCACATGTCTAGAAAGAGAAAAAAAAAAATGTGTTCAATATCAAAAATGAATGGGAAACTACGAAGGCGCTGAAGGTCCACCTATACTTTTTTTTTTGAATCCCGACTTTAAAGTCGGGGGTCCGAGATTAAAGTCGGGGGTCCGAGATTAAAGTCGGGGGTCCGAGATTAAAGTCGGGGGTCCGAGATTAGTCGGGGGTCCGAGATTAAAGTCGGGGGTCCGACTTTAAAGTCGGGGGTCCGAGATTAAAGTCGGGGGTCCGACTTTAAAGTCGGGGGTCCGAGATTAAAGTCGGGGGTCCGAGATTAAAGTCGGGGGTCCGAGATTAAAGTCGGGGGGTCCGAGATTAAAGTCGGGGGTCCGAGATTAAAGTCGGGGGTCCGAGATTAAAGTCGGGGGTCCGAGATTAAAGTCGAGGGTCCGACTTTAAAGTCGGGGGTCCGAGATTAAAGTCGGGGGTCCGACTTTAAAGTCGGGGTCCGAGATTAAAGTCGGGGGTCCGAGATTAAAGTCGGGAGTTCGGAACTGAAGTTAGGAGCTAGATTATATTCGTTAAATATATGGACAGAAATAAATAATTTCCATTGTTACTCATCAGTTTGACGTCAGCAACATGCTCCTGAATTTTCTACATGTACTCGAGAAACACCCTGTACATTTATGTACAAACAATAATTTTACATCCATTGGATAATCATCACATAAGGATCAGTCAAAATCCTCCTTTTTGGATGTACACTGAATGTCAAATAATGGATCACACCTGTACGATCATTATCGTACGTATAGGGTGATTGTTTATATTCCACTTAATAGCTGAGAATCTCATTTGTTTGTTCGAAGGGTGCAAAAAGATTACAATACAAAACATATATTTTCACAAATGAACTACCCTGAATGTCATTCCGTCCTTGGGTAGAGCTCATAAAGATGAGTTCAATGATATATGATTACATTTGTAGGTATGAGTTAACCATTCCGGACTATTTTCATAATTTTCTTCAATAAATAGCCAAATTTCAAAGCCTTATGAAAACGTTGAGAATCAAGTTTTCAATGCGCAGTTTTCATTATGAATTAACTAATTATACAGGGTGATTCACGGTGGATGGCATATTAGAAGTATCTGGAGAACTAAAAGACAGAATATTCTGAAAATTAGGATGCTCCGATAAATGAACATTCTCTATTCGTCTAGAATACTTTCATCGAGACAGTGTTGCTACTTCTATCAGAAACAGTTAGCAACTTTGTTATTTCAAATGGAACACCCTGTATTTTATTACATTTTCAGATTCTTCCTGAACAGCTGATTTCATCAATGCATCACACTTGGAATGATTACAGAGATATAGGGTGTTCAAAATCAGGATTTTTCAATGTTAAGATTTTTTTGTGTCGAAACTATTTATTATCGATCAAAACGGTTCACATGTCCCTATCTTAACTTTCGATTCACTGTCTACTGACATTTAATTGGAACAGATACAGGGTGATCAGAATTCTGAATCTTGAAGCACCCTGTATTTTTGACATTGATGAAATCAGCTCTTCAGGAAGAATCTGAAAATGCAATAAAATACAGAGTATTCCATTAGAAATAACAAAGTTGCTGGTTGTTTCTAATAGAAGTGGCAACACTGTATCGATGAACATATTTTAAACGGATAGAGAATGTTAAATTATCAAAGGATCCCAATTTTCAGAATGTTCTGTCTTTTCGTTCTCCAGATACTTCTAATAGGCCATCCACCGTGGATCACCCTGTATATGTTATATTGATATTTTGTCGATATTAAGGATTTTCGAATTAAACAAAAGTGATGACGTATTTTGCTCATTCGATCATTTTCTCGGAATTTTCGAGATTAAAGTCGGACCCCCGACTTTAATCTCGGACCCCCGACTTTAAAGTCGGACCCCCGACTTTAATCTCGGACCCCCGACTTTAATCTCGAACCCCCCGACTTTAATCTCGGACCCCCGACTTTAATCTCGGACCCCCGACTTTAAAGTCGGACCCCCGACTTTAATCTCGGACCCCCGACTTTAAAGTCGGACCCCCGACTTTAATCTCGGACCCCCGACTTTAAAGTCGGACCCCCGACTTTAATCTCGGACCCCCGACTTTAATCTCGGACCCCCGACTTTAAAGTCGGGATTCAAAAAAAATTTCTATATCTCGTAAACCGCTGGGAATTCAGGCATTTCGACACAGCATTTTTAAAGCAGACACTCAGGTCTTGTATCCGTGTCCCATTAACATTAGTATAGTAAAAGCCAAAATTTTCGAACAGAATTTCTACAACTCAACATTTTTATAAGACAAATCGAAATTTTGGAATATTTGGAGTTTTTTTTTTCTAAGGCCGTTATTTCTCGAGATTAATCTCGGACCCCCGACTTTAAAGTCGGACCCCCGACTTTAATCTCGGACCCCCGACTTTAAAGTCGGACCCCCGACTTTAATCTCGGACCCCCGACTTTAATCTCGGACCCCCGACTTTAAAGTCGGGATTCAAAAAAAAATAGTATAGGTGGCCCTTCAGCGCCTTCGTAGGAAACACTGTATTTGACGTTTTTAGTACTTCTTAGCAACGTTTTGATATTAATATTTGTTTCTATATTTTCAAATGTATGCAGGGTAGGTACTTTGAATATATCCCTTAACTGATGAATTTGAATAACTCTGTATACCTATTTTCATGTGATATTTTTCGAATCTGTAACTTTGTTTTTCAGTGTTTTGTGAGCGTTTTTATTATGAAAATAACAGATTGATTCAGAAAGTTTTGATCTAATAATAAGATAGGTTTGTTAAAATTATACTTTGCATCTAAATTTCATTCACTCATCATTAAATAAAATCATCTTAACATTAAGATAATAATTCATATGAACAAATTAAAATATTTTATTCCATTTATTGTTGAAAAAAGTTGAATTGAATCTATTTTATGAGTTACTTGCAATAAACATTTATATAATTATAACACATCATGCACTATATGTAGGACCCTGTTCATTGAAAAATGTAGAGGTTTTTGGTGCCAAAAATATAAATATATACTTAGTTGATCAAAAGTTGTATTTTTGAATTACTAAAATGCCATAGCCCACACCCCACAGTCACCAACATACAGAGAAGTGCACAAAAAACGGCCAGGGTTGTAACTTTTTAATTATTCTAGATGGAGTTTTGAAAATTGGTGGGTAACAAGTATACCAAATTGCTCCTTAATTGATGAAACAATTTTTCTTTTATCACTTCCAGTTTCACCGGAAACGACCCCAACTTTTGATTTTTAAATGGGACACCCTGTATTGTATTCCATAATCGGTTAGGGATCATCATGACGAATTCAACAATACCGGGTTTGATAGGGTTATTTCAAACAATTGCGAAGATATTTGCGTTCGAAGTTTCCATATGCTCAATTGGTGTGACTTCACAATATCAATACTTCTTTCTCTGTCACACTCATTGTGCATATAGAAACTTAGAACGCGAATATCTGCGTAATCGTTGTAAATAACTCTATCAAACCCGGTATCGATGAATTCATCATGACAATCCCCAACCGATTATGGAATACAATACAGGGTGTCCCATTTAAAAATCAAAAGTTGGGGTCGTTTCCAGTAAAACCGAAAGTGATAGAACAAAAATTGTTTCCTCAATTAATGAGCAATTTGGTATACCAGCTGCCCACCAATTTTCAAAACCCTATCTCGAATTATTCAGAAGTTACAGTCCTGGCTGTTTTTTGTGCACTTCTCTGTATACAGGGTGTTTCATTACTAATTGGAAATAATTCAACCATAGAATCCCGAACTCAAAATATGAAGATTCAACCCAAATCACCTAGATAAAATATGTCTCCTGAGTTACAGGGTGTTTTATTCAAAAATTTTGAAATGTTTTTTGGCCAGTTCTTCAAAACTATTTGACGTATCACTTTCATATTTGGAGGGAAGTGTAGGTATTATACACCCAACTGATTTATGTGAAATGAACTTTTCTAGCTATTACCAGAGGCGTACGACAGGGGCAATTAACTGGTTGATCCCTCCCAAATTCTACGCCACTGGCGGAATTGCAATTCTATCACAAATTTTCGATTCTCCAACAATTTCGACGTAGATATTGTACTCTTTCTCCATGGCGATAAAGTCATTATTTTTCGAGATATTTCAAGTTGAAGATAAATCTGCACAATCATTTTGATTTCAATGTGCATTAATTTTGTCAATATTTTGGATCAATGGATTGTATTTATCAATGAAATGAAACTTCAATCCATATCAACAATAAAAACATGATTACATAACAGACAGGAGCCGTTACAGGGTGTTTATAGTTATGTAATATATTAAAAAAATTAAAACGCCCTGTAACAGCTCCCGTCTGTTATGTTATTATGTTTTTATTGTTAATATGGATTGAAGTTTCATTTCATTGATGAATACAATCCATTGATCCAAAATATTGACAAAATTAATGCACATTTAAATCAAAATAATTGTGCTGCTTCATGTTCAACTTGAAATATCTCGGAAAATAATGACTTTATCGCTATGAAGAAAGAGTACAATATTTACGAAGAAGGTATTGACGAATCGAAAAATTCTGATTAAATTGCAATTCCGCAAGTGGCGTAGAATTTGGGAAGGATCAACCAGTCACTTGCCCCTGTCGTACGCCTCTGGTAATAGCTAGGAAAGTTAATTCCACATAATTCAGTTGGATGTATAATACCTACACTTCCCTCCAAATATGAAAAAGTGATACGTCAAATAGTTTTGAAGAACTGGGCAAAAAACATTTCAAAATTTTCGAATAAAACACCCTGTAACTCAGACAGGAGACATATTTTATTTATGTGATTTGGTTTAAATCTTCATATTTTGAGTTCGAGATTCTATGGTTGAAATATTTTCAATTAGTAATGAAACACCCTGTATAGTAGCTGCTTCTTCATGCAGTGGCCTTATAAATTGATATGAACACAAAGTAAGTATATTAGTCTTAAGGTCATTTATTTTATTTGACACTTTCAAATAACAAATTAGTTTAAGAGTTTCGTCCTGAAATGGACAGCAACATAGGCAATAGCTATGGAGAAAGCTGCTGCCAGCAGTTCACATGATATCCAAGGGCCCCCATACGTCCCCCTGTGATGCACCACAATCCTCGCGAAAACGCCAACCCCAGAAACATCTTCGCCAGCCCTCATGGCTTTTCTCAAGGCAATGTAACCACTTTCATCATACACTTTCACCAGCGTGTCCCCAGTTTTAGCCGTTTTGATGTCTTCCGTCCAACTGATTTGGTATTTTCCTGAGTCTACGGAAGCCACTGGCGAGATGGTGTCTTTGAAGGAGGCGTACAGGTTGCCAGCCTCGCCTTTTTTGCATTTCACTTGGAAGTTTGATATGAAAGCGACTTGTTTTAGGATGGTGGCATCTTGGGTTGTGTAGGTTGTTGAGATGATTTGAGGGTCTGTGCACTGTTGGGAATTCACTATAAAGGTGAATATTATTGCGACGAGCGGAAAGATGCTCGAATAACTAGCCATTATCGGGAATTGTTGTTTTTGTATGGGAAATTGGGAAAAAAAGGCGCGATCAATACAAAAAAGACGTACAGAGCATGGAACACCATTTAAGGAACATGGAACGTAAAAAGAGAAGTGCCAACGTGACATGTTTTTATCGTTGCCAACACAAGTATTACAGATTCCTACAAAATTAGGTGACTGAATAACCAAATATGATATTCACTTGTGCTATCAATATGGAGATGGCGCTCACATAGAAATTTGATGATACATAATAATCATCCGTTCTACCAACCTTGAAATTTGAGAGCCTGTTTTGAATAGGTACCTAGGCATTGCAAAGAAAACTTTTCGGAAATGATATATGAAACAAGACCTGAGTTTTCGCTTTAATAATTATGGCAGTGTGTCTGATGAATTACCAACGGTTTACTAGATATCAGGCTAGATATGCCAATTTTCTCGAGAAATAACGGCCTTAGAAAAAAAAACTCCAAATATTCCAAAATTTCGATTTGTCTTATAAAAATGTTGAGTTGTAGAAATTCTGTTCGAAAATTTTGGCTTTTACTATACCAATGTTAATGGGACACGGATACAAGACCTGAGTGTCTGCTTTAAAAATGCTGTGTCGAAATGCCTGAATTCCCAGCGGTTTACGAGATATAGAAATTTTTTCGTGAAATAAGGGCATTAGAAAAAAACTAACAACTTTTTCGTGTTTGCCAGGTCAAACTCTATATGAATCGAGAATAACATTTTTCACGAATGAAATCATTGCATTTTCGATCAATTTTTCAAAATTTTCAAAAATTTCGAAAATTTTGGCTTTTACTTATACCAATGTTAATGGGACACGATTACAAGACCTGAGTGTCCGCTTAAAAATTCTGTGTCGAAATGCCTGAATTCCCAGCGGTTTACGAGATATAGAAATTTTTTCGTGAAATAAGGGCATTAGAAAAAAACTAACAACTTTTTCGTGTTTGCCAGGTCAAACTCTATACGAATCGAGAATGACATTTTTCACGAAAAAAATCATTGCATTTTCAATCAATTTTTCAAAATTTTCAAGAATTTCGAAAATTTTGGCTTTTACTATACCAATGTTAATGGGACACGATTACAAGACCTGAGTGTCCGCTTTAAAAATTCTGTGTCGAAATGCCTGAATTCCCAGCGGTTTACGAGATATAGAAATTTTTTCGTGAAATAAGGGCATTAGAAAAAAACCAACACCTTTTTCGTGTTTGCCAGGTCAAACTCTATACGAATCGAGAATACAATTTTTTTCGAAAATAATCATTGCATTTTCAATCAATTTTTCAAAATTTTCAAAAATTTCCAAAATTTTGGCTTTTTCTATACCAATGTTAATGGGACACGATTACAAGACCTGAGTGTCCGCTTTAAAAATTCTGTGTCGAAATGCCTGAATTCCCAGCGGTTTACGAGATATAGAAATTTTTTCGTGAAATAAGGGCATTAGAAAAAAACCAACAACTTTTTCGTGTTTGCCAGGTCAAACTCTATACGAATCGAGAATAAAATTTTTTTCGAAAATAATCATTGCATTTTCAATCAATTTTTCAAAATTTTCAAGAATTTCGAAAATTTTGGCTTTTACTATACCAATGTTAATGGGACACGATTACAAGACCTGAGTGTCTGCTTTAAAAATTCTGTGGCGGTATGCCCAAATTCCCAGCGGTTTCCGAGATAGAGGAATTTTTTCGAGAAATATGGGCCATAGAAAAATATCAACAACTTTTTCGTATTGTCCAGGTCAAACTCTATACGAATCGAGAATAAAATTTCTTTCGAAAAAAATTATTGCATTTTCAATCAATTTTTCAAATTTTTCAAAAATTTCCAAAATTTTGGCTTTTTCTATACCAATGTTAATGGGACACGATTACAAGACCTGAGTGTCCGCTTTAGAAATTCTGTGTCGAAATGCCTGAATTCCCAGCGGTTTCCGAGATATAGAAATTTTTTCGAGAAATAAGGGCATTAGAAAAAAACTAACAACTTTTTCGTGTTTGCCAGGTCAAACTCTATACGAATCGAGATATAGAAATTTTTTCGTGAAATAAGGGCATTAGAAAAAAACTAACAACTTTTTCGTGTTTGCCAGGTCAAACTCTATACGAATCGAGAATAAAATTTTTCACGAAAAAAATCATTGCATTTTCAATCAATTTTTCAAAATTTTCAAAAATTTCGAAAATTTTGGCTTTTTCTATACCAATGTTAATGGGACACGATTACAAGACCTGAGTGTCCGCTTTAGAAATTCTGTGTCGAAATGCCTGAATTCCCAGCGGTTTACGAGATATAGAAATTTTTTCGTGAAATAAGGGCATTAGAAAAAAACCAACACCTTTTTCGTGTTTGCCAGGTCAAACTCTATACGAATCGAGAATACAATTTTTTTCGAAAATAATCATTGCATTTTCAATCAATTTTTCAAAATTTTCAAAAATTTCCAAAATTTTGGCTTTTTCTATACCAATGTTAATGGGACACGATTACAAGACCAGAGTGTCCGCTTTAAAAATTTTGTGTCGAAATGCCTGAATTCCCAGCGGTTTACGAGATATAGAATTTTTTTCGTGAAATAAGGGCATTAGAAAAAAAACCAACACCTTTTTCGTGTTTGCCAGGTCAAACTCTATACGAATCGAGAATACAATTTTTTTCGAAAATAATCATTGCATTTTCAATCAATTTTTCAAAATTTTCAAAAATTTCCAAAATTTTGGCTTTTTCTATACCAATGTTAATGGGACACGATTACAAGACCTGAGTGTCCGCTTTAAAAATTCTGTGTCGAAATGCCTGAATTCCCAGCGGTTTACGAGATATAGAAATTTTTTCGTGAAATAAGGGCATTAGAAAAAAACCAACAACTTTTTCGTGTTTGCCAGGTCAAACTCTATACGAATCGAGAATAAAATTTTTTTCGAAAATAATCATTGCATTTTCAATCAATTTTTCAAAATTTTCAAGAATTTCGAAAATTTTGGCTTTTACTATACCAATGTTAATGGGACACGATTACAAGACCTGAGTGTCTGCTTTAAAAATTCTGTGGCGGTATGCCCAAATTCCCAGCGGTTTCCGAGATAGAGGAATTTTTTCGAGAAATATGGGCCATAGAAAAATATCAACAACTTTTTCGTATTGTCCAGGTCAAACTCTATACGAATCGAGAATAAAATTTCTTTCGAAAAAAATTATTGCATTTTCAATCAATTTTTCAAATTTTTCAAAAATTTCCAAAATTTTGGTTTTTTCTATACCAATGTTAATGGGACACGATTACAAGACCTGAGTGTCCGCTTTAAAAATTCTGTGTCGAAATGCCTGAATTCCCAGCGGTTTACGAGATATAGACATTTTTTCTTGAAATAAGGGCATTAGAAAAAAACTAACAACTTTTTCGTGTTTACCAGGTCAAACTCTATACGAATCGAGAATGAAATTTTTTTCGAAAAAAATAATTGCATTTTCTTTTCATTCTTTTCGGCAGAAAGCAAACTAGTGGAGTGGATATAATTATTGAAAGAGGAATAGAATCATGAAACAAAAATACACAACTATTTAATATTTATTGTTTCCCAACATATGGTACATTCTTCATGTTCGTTTTTGATATGTCTCACAAAAATAGGTTATATTTACGACTACCAAATCATCATTATTTTTTCGTACCTATATACATTAGTTCATTCAAAAATATTGAAGGCTACAATACAAATAACAATGTTAGTTGAAGTTCTAACAGACAATAAGCTACCATTAGAGATTCCATTATATTATATTTCATGGTAAATCAACAGGTAAACGATGGTTAATAAAAACTGGTAAGTAACGTGCCTTTTATAATATTGCACAACAAGCATAATTGGAGCAATGCCCAGAATAAAATGTTTCTAGCGTTACTGAAATTTCAATACATAAAGCGTTTTATTAATGTTTCTGAAATAAAACAATCCTTGACAAAACACAAAACAATAAGTTGTTTCCTTCATAAATTGTCCACGATAAAAAAATCAGTCTAAAGGTAATAATAACGTCCCTCTTAATTATCTTAACTAGGTATTTCACTTTATATTTTTAACAATAATAAATGGTCATATTACACATATATAGTTATCAAAAAGAAGTTTCGAAATGAAGTTTTCCATCTTCGATTGAAGAAATTTCGAGGAATGAGTCCATAAAGTAGGTACAGGGTGATTCACCATAAATGTTCCCCCTTCTAGCTCACTTATTTTTAAATCGATTTAAAAATTTGAAAAATCATCTAACATTTTTTTCCCGTTGCATCAGAAAATATAGGGTGCTCGGAACAAACGATCTACAGAGTACTACTCGATTTTTTCGAATGGAACACCCTGTATTTCATAATCTCCCTGAAGAGCTGATTTAATCAATGCATCACACTTGGGGTCCAGCGGGAATGATTACAGAGATATAGGGTGTTCAAAATCGAGATTTTTCAACTTAAGGATTTTTTTGTGTCGAAACTATTCATCATTGGTCAAAACGGCTTTGATGTCCCTATCTCAACTTTTGATTTACTATCTACTGACATTTAATTGGAACATATACAGTGTATTTCGAGATTCAGAATTCTGATCACCCTGTATCTGTTTAAATTATCAAATGTCAGTAGATAGTAAATTAGAAGCTGAGATACGGACATGAGAGCCATTTTGACCGATAATGAATAGTTTCGACACAAAAAAAACGTTGAAAAATCTCGATTTTGAACACCCTATATCTCTGTAATCATTTTCGCTAGACCCCATGTGATACATTAATGAAATCAGCTCTTCAGGGAGAATCTGAAAATACAATGAAAAATAGGGTGTTCCATTTAAAAAAATCAAATAGTACCCTGTAGATCGTTTGTTCCGAGCACCTTGTATATTCTGATGTAGCGGAAAAAAACTCTATCGAAAATCATTTTAGATGATATTTAAAATTTTGCAATCGGTTCAAAAATAACTGAGCTAGAGGAGGGGAGACATTTATGGTGAATCACCCTGTACCTACCCACTTTGTTGGATCATATTCCATGAAGATAAAATTGTGTCGAACATGGACTAGGGGTTGTGACGTCAAATTGGAAGTTAAACTACCTATCTTTATCGTTTTTTCTCTCCACTTATCTGTAACTTGGCTGAAATTGAACTCCCTCCAGAAATAATTGTAATTTTTTCCCAGCACTCAACATATTTTTCACTGCCTAAGCAGTAAAAGTAGAGTCTTTTCAACGTCGGAAAAAAAATCATGAAAAGTGACATTTTACAACTTCTCAACAGAGATGAAATGTCAAAACTTATTTCCCGTCACAGAAAAAATATCATTTAGGCAGTAAAATACCCTAAATTGTCAAGACAGTGAAAATACACTCAAATTGTCTAGGCAGGGAAAATGCATCAATTGTCTAGGCAGTGAAAATACACTTTATTGCCTAGGCAGTAAAATGCAGGTGCTGTTTTATCGCCTAGGCAATCAAAAGTGCCACTTTAGTGTGCCCAATCACTAATAGAGTCGAACGAGACAAACGAACAGACAAGTTACCGCCAGACAAAGAGAAAAATAAACGCGGGTTCGTTCGAAAATTCGTCAACTTTTTTTTCTCCTTCCCCCCCTCAAACAAAAATGAAGGCCGGCCCTTCGCGACATCCCTTCGTCGACGTGCAACCCTTATCGGGGCCGGCATGCGCCCTCAGCCATTTGCCGTGGCAATGGGGCGCCGACAGCGCCGACCACCTGGTGACGCGAGCTTCGACGCCGTGTCCCTGACACCGCCAACCCAAGTCCTCGTGTAAGGCCTCCGATTCGCATCGTACGCACACCCGTTCACCTATGAAAGACAAAAAAAATCGGCTCTTTCAGGAATTTTTTGAAAATAGTGGGCGTAGGGACCAAGTAGGGGGTCGTAGGGACCGATTAGGGGTCGTAGGAACCGAGTAGGGGGTCGTAGGGGCCAATTAGGGGTCGTAGGGACCGAGTAGGTGTTGTGGGGACCGACTATGGGGTTGTAGGGACCGAGTAATGGCTGTAGGAACCTAGTATAGGGGTCGAAGGGACCGATTAGGGGTCGTAGGGACTGAGTAGGGGTCATAAGGATCTAGTAGGGGGGTCGTAGGAAACGAATACGTGTCATGGCGCCCGATTATGGTGTCGTAGGGACCGGGTAACGGTTGTAGAAACCCAGTAGGGATCGAAGGGAACGAGTATGGGTCGTAGGAACCGATTAGGGCTCGTAGGGACCGAGTAGGGGTCATAGGGACCTAGTAGAACTCGTAGGGACCGAGTAGGTGTCGTGAGGACCGATTATGGGGTTGTAGGAACCGAGTAATGGTTGTAGGAACCCAGTATAGGGGTCGAAGGGAACGAGTATGGGTCGTAGGGACCGAGAAGCGGGTCGTAGAGACAGATAAGGGGTCATAGAAACCGACTAGAAGGTTGTAGATACCTCGTAGGGGCCATAATAACCGAGTATAGGGGTCGTAGGGACCGATTAGGAGTCTTAGGGACTGAGTAGGGGGTTGTAATGACCGTGTAGAGGTCATAAGGACCTAGTAGGGGTTGTAGGGACCGAGTAGAGGTCGTAGGGACCGAGTAGGTGTCGTGGGGACCGATTATGGGGTTGGATCTGTGCCTTATAAATCATAATCAGCTGACTGGAAATGAAATAGCTTCTGGCCCGTAACAGAAAACCATGTTTTAGGGATGCACTCTTAGCAATTGATCTCACGTGATTTTCCCAACAAAGGTTATTGCTGATAGTGATACCAAGCATCGAAATGGATGTCTTCAAAGGTATGGTTACTCCTTACAAGCTTTTATTGGGCACAGTGAGATAGGCTTTTCTAGAGGAAAGGCATGCTTGTGTTTTGTTTGCATTGAAATCTACCAAGTTATTGGAACCCCATTCGAGAATTGTTGCCAAGTCCATATTTATGTTGTCAACATTTCTCCCTCGTTCGTTTCTGATTTGCCTGGTTGGTATATTGGAGCCCTGGAAGAGAAGGCGGTATGGAGGGTACTATCATCCGCGAAGCTGTGTACTGGACATGCAGTTTTTTCCAACAAATCGTTGATATGGAGTAGCAATAGTGATAGTGCTAGAATTGATCCTTGCACTAGCGTTTATGATAAGAGAGTCAGATGAACCTCCGTCGACCACTACATGGTAACAATAGATAAGTAGGGAACCTCGCTAGAAAACTAGGGGACGTTTTATACGGTTAGGGATCTTTTGGAAATTTGTAGGGGCTCGTAGGAGTATATAGGGGGTTGATGATGAAGTTCGCAAAGTTTGTTAACAGGTTTTGGCATTCATTTGAGATTCCCCAGAGGTTTGAGCAGGCTCTTTCGGATGTTTGTGGGGGCTATCTGAGATATCATATGGGAATTTTAAGAGTTTTCAGAGATCCGCAAAGTTTGAGGGTTTTTGTATTTGTGAAAATTCTTTGGGTCTCTGGCAGGTTCTAACATTCGTGAAGGCCCCTTGGAGAGATATGGCACTCGTAAAGTTTTCTTTGCTGTTTTGGCAGGTTTTTGGGAGAGTTGGCATGTGTTTTTTGGACTTGGAGGTATCATATGTCTTAGGTGATTTGGAAAATTGTTGAAGATACTTGGAGATTCGTTAGTAGGTACTTAAAGAAGTTGGCAGGTATTGAGGTGAAGAGGTTCGTAGGAGAAAGGGTTAGGAGTTCTTTGGAAGTTCGTAGGTACCCTTCTAGGTATATATGGGAGGGGTTTCAACACTCGACAAGATTACTTGGGGGGTTTTGATTTTGAAGAAGGTTCCCCGCATGGAAGTTTTGAGAGTCTTTTAAGAATGTCGGTAGATGTAATTCGTGAAGTTCCATTGGGGATGTTAGCAATCCTGAAGGTTCTTTGGAGGTTTCAGCATTCTCGATGGTTCAGTAGAAGTATTTGGCATGTTCATGAAGACGAAAGTTCGCAAGGCCTTTGGTAGGGGTTATCTGGAAATTTTTGAAGGCTCTTGAAAGAAATTTGAAGTGGTTCCAGGGATTCTTAATAGTCCCTTGAAGGATTTAACATTCGTAACTGTTTCTTGAGATGAGGGGAGAGGAGTTTGGCATCCATGATCCTCATTGGACTTTGATAGGTTCTCTAGGGATATCTTATAGGCATTGAGGCAGAAAAGGGTTCGATAGAAGTTGAGAGAATGAAGGGTTTGCAGAGGATCGGTGGAGGTTCCTTCAAAATTTGACAAGGACTCGTAAAATTCCATAAAGGCTCAAAAAGGCTCCTAGGAAGCTGATTGGCGGTTTCAAGGAAGATCAAGAGAGGTTCCTTAGGGGTATTGGTAAGATCCTGAAGGTTTGAACGGGATTTGTGAGAAATATCAGTATCCGATCAGTTGAGTTTCTATATGTTTCAAATTAGTAATACCATTATATTATTACTATCAGGTCTCTGTTCTCGAATTATTTTTTGAAATAATTTGGAACAGCGAACAGCTGGAGACTCATTTATACCTTGTACCTTGATACTCACCTTCTTTCAAAGATTTGTAGTTTTCTTCTTTCCTACATGCTTTCGATGCTTTCAAGACTTCAAATTCCACACAGTATCTGTAACAATATAAAGAATGATTACAAGCATGGCTACAACTCAGTGGTACCTACTTTGATAGAGTAGGTAATGTCTGAAAATACCAATCGTAAGAGTACTGAGTAATGACAGTCATTGCATATTATGTTGTTTTTATTGAACTATTTCTTAATATTAGGGTTGTTTATTCCTTTCCAGGAGAGTGTTAGCCACTATGGTATTTTTTATTATTTCCCATACCAATGCACATTATGTTCAATCTCTTCAGAATCAGGTGGAGATCGTATAAAAGCATAACTGCAGTGTCTGCTAATCATGGTACCTATATTCTACGACTACAATTGAAATGACATGAATTGAAGATGGATAGCATGAAAAAATCATATAGTATTATATAGAAATCATTTTTAGTGAATTTGAATATCTCGCCAGCAATTGACAACAGAGAGTTATTCTAGAGGGGAAGGCAGCGTCTTTAGTTCATAGTTCAAGAAAAACCGACAAGGACTTAGGATATAGAACTAAGTACGTCCCTGTCCAAACAAAATTAATTATTAATCGTTCTCGATTGGTCTTTGGCTGATGCTGTCGATTGGCCATTCCCGCAAATGGAAATATCAAAGGAAAACCGGGGACAGTCGCTTTCCAGCTTCCACATTCATTAACTTCACATTCCGTTCAACTCTTATATTTGACTAGCTAATTGCTGCAACTTAGTTTCGCCCATTGTTAATCTAATTGGGAGCCAATGCCGAATGGAGGAATATTTGCGTTGAATCAACGCGAAATGTGGATATCAACGGAAAACCGGGAGCTGGAAAGTTCGGATGAAATCATTAAATGTTTATTTTGAGCGGATTGAACTAACTCATTTTTGTCATTTTATTATACAAACACCATTCAACGTATCAACACCGTACTCAGGTTTTTTCTAGAATGGTGGGGGGTTACACATTTTATCTGAATGACAGCGTTGATTGATATATTACGCTTACGCTATGACAGGAAACACTCCGGGGAAACGGTGTGTTTTCATACCTTCTGACATATGCATCTTCGAAAAAATTAGTATATTCACACATCAACCCATACGATACTTTACAGTGTCATTCATAAAGTCGGCATCATATGAGAAAAACTTTTATTAATGACTTATTTTGAAATTCGAGTTGGACGTCAAGTTTTGCTTCAAAAAAGATGAAAAATGGCCTACTCAATTGGGGTCACGTGACTTTCGCTACATGTCAAAAGTGACATTTTTTCAAATTAATCGCTGAAAGTAGGCTTATTTGTTCGAATATCGAAAAAGTTTACTTGAAAAAGTTGTTTCTATTTCAATTTTACATAATGTGACTCGGATATTATCTTTCTATTACATTTTTTAAATTTCGATATTTTTTTAAATTTTTCGAAATTTGTGTAATATTAAAAATATTGTAAGTTCGATAAAACTACTTCATACCAGTAGCTCCATCATGCTACTAACTTTCAATTACTAATTATCACTAATTATCGACAAAAATATGATTTTCTTGAGAAAATGATAATCTCCGCTTCAAAATTCTGTTATGTTTGATGCAAACATAACATCAAAATGCTGTTATGTTTGAGTCAAGCATTTAGAAACGAAATTCATTTGAATTTATTTTTTCAGTACTGAGAAGATCAGTTTAAATGAATTTCGTTTCTAAATGCTTGACGATATATCAACTTTGCATCAAACATAACAGAATTTGTAAGCGGGTATTATCATTTTCTGAAGAAAATCATGTTTCTGTCCATAATCAGTGATAATAAGTAATTGAAAGTAAGTAGCATGAAAAAGCTAATGGTATGAAGTTGTTTCGTGGAATTAACAATTCTTCAAATATAACAGAAATTTTGAAAAAAAAAAAAATCTAAATCTAAAAGTTGCAATAGAAAGATCAAATTCGAGAAGCATGTGTAAAATTGGTTTAGAAACAACTTTTTCGAGTAAACTTTTTCGATATTCGAACAAATAAACCTACTTTCAGCGATTAATTTGAAAAAATGTCACTTTTGACATGTAGCGACAGTCACGTGACCCCGATTAAGTAGGCCATTTTTCATCTTTTTCGAAGCAAAACTCAACGTCCAACTCGAATTCCAAAATAAATCATTAATAAAAGTTTTTCCCATATGATGCCGACTTTATGAATGACACTGTATTTTAAATGGGCGCCCAACTCACCCCCACTGATATTGTAAAGAAATTCTGAAGAATGTCGAATTATTTTTCACTCAAGGACGCCTAACATCATATCAAATTTCAATACCACACTGTCTTACAACTAACCAAACCGATTTTTCATACGCTTCAACACGTATTTCGCTCACTATGTTAGCATCTTCAGGAGAAAATTAAAACTAAATATTCTATTGTGCTACTTATACAGGGTATGTCACAACGAGCTTACACTATCTTTGTATCGAGAATGAGTCGGTAAAAATCCATGGAAATGTGAATGCTCATATTTTAGAATACGCTCTCTTCATTTGAAATATTTTCGACAATGCAGTATTGCCGCTTTTACTAGAAAGTAGTAGCAACATTGATATTTCAAATGAAACACCCTGTATTTCATTGCTTTTTCAGATTCTTCCTGAAAATCTGATTTTATCGATGTATCACACTTGGGATCTATCAAGAAAGATTACAGAGATATAAGGTGTTCAAAATCGAGATTTTTCAACTATAGGATTTTTTTGTATCGAAACTATTCATTATCGGTCAAAACAGCTCACATGTCCCTATCCTGACTTTTGATCCACTATTTACTGATATTCAATCGGAACAGATACAGGGTGGTTCAAGATTCAGAATTCTGAATACCCTGTATCTGTTCCGATTGAATATCAGTAAATAGTAAATCAAAAGTTGAGATAGGGGCATGTTAGGCGTTTCGGCCGATAATGAATAGTTTCGACACAAACAAATCCTAAAGTTGAAAAATCTCGATTTTGAACACCCTATATCTCTGTAATCATTTTCGATAGACCCCAAGATGGATGTATCGATGAAATCAGCTCTTCAGGGAGAACCTGAAAATGCAATGAAATGAAGAGTATTCTATTTGAAATAACAAAGTTGTCGCTACTTTTTTATGGAAGCGGCAACACTGCATTGCTGAAATTATTTCAAATGAAGAGAGCGTATTGTAAAATATGAGCATGCATATTTTCGACTGATTCTCGATATAGAGATAGTGTAAGCTCGTCGTGACTCACCCTGTATACTAGGTATATGTCCACCGAACCGTGAAAGACACTAACCGCCAAGTTAATGTTTCTCATGGTTGAGTTCACATGTTCACCTCAATCTTATATCACTAAACTATACAGGTTCCTTCGAAAATAACGAAGTTGGTACCCATTTCTTATATCAGCGATATTCATTTGTTTCATCTCGTACAATTTTCTGGAGGTTCAGAACAAACCCTACAACTTTTGGATTCGAAGTTTTTTCGATCTTCGATGATTAACCCTGTAGAAGCTGTTTAAATATACAGAATGACCCTGTGTAAACAATCAATTTTCGCGACAAGAAAAATAGGATAAACCAATAAGATGGAGGTGACCGCGAAAAATAATTCCTCTCCGAATGCCTTCAAATTGCTATGCAAATTCTGATGGGGGAAAAATACGAATTACCGCATTTCTAATCACGACAGGGCGTTTTCCCTAACGAATACGGAAACACTGAAGCTGTTTTTTTTTCAGAACGTTTTCTTCATTTAACTTTCAAGCCATATTGATCGTAAGATGCTAGGACGATTTAATAAGTGGTTTCACATTTTTTCTTCAAAAATTTTCACTTGTAATACCACTAGAAGTCAAATTATTTCACACCAGATTGTGTTTGGAAATTGAATAATTTTAGAATTTATTTGTTCATTTGATTTGCATACATCAGGTTCATGAATGAATTTAGTTTGCGTCGCAGTTTCGGCACCAATAATAGATTCCTGATTTCTACCTAATATATTTGCATGAAAATACTTCTTCAAAATGTAACATATATATTCTTCCATTTTATATTAACTTCGGGATACTACAAGTGATCAGAGATTTCGAATTTTATTCTCAGCTCATTAATTGTTGATTTCTATCAAATTAGAGTGGCACAAAATCACTATTTCAGGACGTCAAAATATTATTCTGTCATGGAAACGTCATAAAAAAATTTCCGATTCCATACGCTGGTGGGTACCCACTAGAAAAAAAAATCCACTAAAATATCACTGGTGTGGAATTTTCACTAAAATACATATGTTGCTATGGTGATTTGTCAAGAAAATTCAATTTGGTTATTTAAACAATACTGGCATGGAATTATCACGCCAATTTTCCTCTTTCCTTTCTCGATACAAATAAACGATCCCAAATATTCGAAATTCGATATCAACCCACTGTTCAAAATAGGACAGAATATTTACCTTATCCGATAACGGCAATAATTGTGATCCTTTGATCTTCCTCAGTTATTTCATTTCGTCTAACAGACGTAGAAAGGTAAATTGAAAGAATGGACAGGATTCCCTCTTCTCAAAGGAAAATCTCTTGGAAAATCTGTATATATATATATACTCTGGCGATGGCAGGTTCCTCTGTTGAGTATTTTCTATTATTATAGTGATCGTAAAGTTCCATTTTCGAGGATTCCATCAACATTCAGACCTTATAATTATGCTCTTTCACTGCCTTTCACTATATCAGCGTTCGTGAATAATAGTTATTTCTGTACCAAGTGTGTAAAGTAGTACTTTTTTACGAGTAGGAAATACCTATGAGTAAAAATCAAATACAGTATGCACGTGTTACATACAACATTTTTCCTTCAACTGTCGAAAAGAGGACAACCTCATTCAACTTATAATGTAAATGATTAATTGATATTTCCAAATTAGTATCAAGTACATTTACTCATTTCATGTCACTTTATTGATAACACCTGGTTTCTAAGGACGAAATGTATAAATATTCCATCTCGCTCGCGTTCAGTGATGCTGATCAAATCATACATGAGATGCGGGCGTATCATCATCTAATACGTGAGGATATCGTGGTGCCTTCTTCCCGCAACCATCTCTATTTCACTGCCACTCCATGCTAAATACGAAGTCAGTCGCCTTGATTTGTTCGCTTATGGGCTTGCTGAATCCCGTAAAGGAGCCAATAATAATAAATTTGTTCCTGGAGTCCAATGATATATCATACATGAATGCAATTACACGATATACAAATTCATAAGGACAAACCTGATTTCCATATATAATCACTGATTTCCTTGTAAGTTGACTTCAAACAAGAAATTTTCAAATTCCAGTAACAGATTTATTTGAACTTTGTCACATATACAATCAAACAGAATAACCGCTACCTACATAGCATTTGATATAGGTGCAAGCATTGATATACCGGGTGACACAGGAGAAATGTAACAGCCTGTAGTTTTTTTAATTGAAGAGATACAAATATTATCGATGATGGCGCTTCCCTTGAACCCAATGACAATTTTCTTCAATCATCTGTTTGATCGGAAGTTGATCCAACTTGTTTTTTCAAATGGCATCCTGTATATTTCTGTAGCCTATCTTATTATTTGCCTTGAAATTTTCTTTCATTGAGTTTAAAAATATCATCCGAAAATAACTCACGATATTCAGAAAACTGAGATAGAAACTCAGTTTTTTTCATTAGGATACTTGTGAAGAAACTATCTGTCTTTCTTTTTTGCCATGTAGCCATAATATGATCATACATTTGGATACATGAAACTGAAATTGTAGTAATAATTGATGTATCGTCCTAATATCGTGAGTTATTTTCGGATGATTTTTTTAAACTCAATGACATTATTTGCAATCTTCTGGAACCGATTTGGGTATGGAAAATATTCTGATAATATGGTCTAAGTGATCCATGTATTTCAATAAAATGCAATTGAACAGCCAAATAATGAATGAATATCAAATTGTGATACATAGTTGAATAGAGAATTTTAAGGCGAATAAGATAAACATCAGAAATATACAGGGTGCCATTTGGAAATAAAAGTTGGTCTACTTCCAATCAAAATTTTTACCTCTCCAAATAAAAAAACTAGAGGTTGTTACATATCTAATGTGTCATCCGGTATATAATGATCTATCTACAAAGGTACTAATTTACAATAACTAGCCTATAATTTACAACTATTTTAATTTTGAATTAAGAGATGTGCGAAAGAATGTTTTGTTTCATATAGGAAGTAGCCTAGAATCCTAGTGATTTTCCTAGGGAAATAGACTGTCAACTGTTCGAATTTCTCTCAAGTCGGGAAAAATCAAATTCAGTTGCTTGAATCGTAATTGGAGACCGAGAAAAGTTTTCGCATTGGTAACTTTTCCGATCAATTGCCAATCAAAGTTGTTACTGCGTCTCGAGACTCGCAGACACTTTTTACCTGAACAGGGTGGTCACAAATCAAAGTCACCGTTGATGTCCGCATCTGATGAGTTGTTTTTTTCATTGGTTCACGCAAATTTTGAACGGTTCTTGCAATTGACAGGCCGGACAGGACTCGAACGACTGAACGTGTGTTTCACAAACTGTGTTGCCATGGTAATGGTAGAGACAATTTGGTTTAAAAAGTAACGACAAAGAAAACTCGAAAATTATCTGACGATAGTGACAGTGACAGTTTTGTTGCCAAAGTATGAAAGTGAGTTGATTGAAACTAGAGTCACTGGGTATTAGTTTGATAAGAGTTCGGACACAGAAATGACAACGGTTAGGGTTTTTGAATGTTTAGATTTATAAAGTTACACACCTTGCATTGTGACAAGAGCACCATAGTCGTCCTGCGCTTTTTCATTCAAAATTTTTTGAATTTGACAATTCATTTTATAAACGTCAGAATTGAAATAAAATTTCATAATCATTATACTTTCAAGATAAAAGCAGCTTTGGAAATCACTTGCTGTGTAATAAATTGTGCCAATTTCTAAACAAATGGATATCATTCATTCGATTTTCCAAATCAAATATCAAGCATTCGCTTATGGAAGGAAAATATGAAACGGCCTGGGTGGAAAATCAATTTGAAGATGTGCGAAATTTGTGAGGTACTCATTGGAATTCACTTCTTATATTAGCATCTGATTAGAATGAATATATATTTTAGGCCCATTTTCAAACAGAAGATTTCAAAATCTGTTTGAGAGAATCTGCTGTCCCATCAATTTACAAAGCAGACGATTTCAAGAACGAAATTCCATTATTATCATCACACAAAATACAAAACAAAATAATCATGGAAAAAGGGGAAATGATCGCAAAATTACATTATGAAATTGAAAATTTGAAAACGAAACTAAGAAAAGCAAGTAAACTAATAATAATAATAGTTTATTCATACAGGAAAAAAAAGCAATATTACAGAATACATTTTAACTAGGTACTTGATGTGGAATAAACCCAACAGCTCCCATGAAGTTTCCTTGTTATGGGAGAATCAAATCTAAATACAATCTTGTAGTCTAGTGCTGAAGAATATAATGACTATACACAGACACACACATACATGAATCACATTTTTTTTTTTTTTTTTTTTTTTTTTAATGAACGCCATATCATTTTATTTCTCAATGCGGATGAATGAAATCACCCCAACCTCTCAATATTATGCTTGTTGGTTTTTTGATGAAAATTACTATGAATTTGGGTTAAAGATTTTACTCAGGTTATTACCAGTAAGACTTCTCAACCAATTCTTGATGTTTTTTTTGAAATATGAATAATTATTTACGTTCCTGATAGTTGGCGGCCCCTGAGAGAATATTCGGGGGGCTGTGTAAAGATATGACCTATTGATTTGGCAACTTTTATGTTTTTATTTTCTGCAATTTTTCTATATCTCGTATTATGTTCATGTGAGATAGCAGTTAAATTGTTCTTATTTTTTTGTTGTAGGCATAATATTCTGTACAGGTATAATTTTTTGATGTTGAATATGGGAATTTCACTGAAGAGACACTCAGTTGAGTATGTTCTGCATTTATTGAATAATATTTTGAGGAAGTATTTTTGAGTGATTTCTAGATTTTTCAAATGACACTCGTATGCTCTGCCCCATCCTGATATGCCATACTGTATATGCGACTCTATAAGGGAATGGTATATTGTTTTAAGCTCCTTTGTATCCAGAATATTTTTTAGCTGCTTGAAAGTGAAAAGAATTGATCTCAGTTTTTTAACTATTTTATTCACATGACTGTCCCACTTCAGATATTTGTCCACTTCTATTCCAAGATACGTTATAGAGTCTACAATTTCCACTAACTGGTTGTTATTGGGTAGTGTTAGATTTTGCATATCAGGTGAGTTGCTTTTATTACAGGAAAACGTTATTGATTTGGTTTTTTCCAAGTTCAATGTTAGGCTCATTGTACTCAACCAATCCATAACTTTTCCCAGATCCTCTTCGGCTTGCGATTTTGCTTCTATCCAAGAAGTAGCAGAGCATATTATCACAGTATCATCGGCAAATGATGATACACTACCATTTAGGTCAAGATTGAGCATGCCATTAATGTATATAAGGAACAATATCGGACCAAGTACTGTTCCCTGCGGTACACCAGTCTCCACTTCTAGTATATCACTCTGAGTGTCATCAATTTCTACAAATTGTTTCCTTCCTGTAAGGTAAGACTGGAAGAGTTCCGATACAATTCCTCTAATGCCTAGATACTCCATACTGTCAATCATGATTTTATGATTGACAGTATCGAAGGCTTTAGCTAAGTCCAAAAATACTCCAATGCAACATTTTCCTTTATCTAAAGACTCATAAATATTGTTCGTTAGATATACTATTGCATCTTCTGTAGACATTCCCGTTCTAAATCCAAATTGTTTTTTTGATAGTAATTGATTTTCTTCTAAATATTCCATGAGCCTTTTCTTTATTAGTTTTTCTACTAACTTTGCAACCGTGTTTATAAGGGAAATCGGCCTATAATTTAATACATCTTTTTTATCGCCTTTCTTGTATAATGGTTTTACTATGGCAATCTTGAATATATCGGGGAATATTCCATTTTCGAATATCATATTTATAATGTACACTAGCGGCCTTTTTATATATTCCGCGATTAGTTTTATATGTTCTGAAGTTAAACCATCTTGCCCTGGACTCTTATTGCTCTTTAATTCATGTATGACATTTACCAACTCTGTCGAGGAAGTGGGTCTCAGGAACATTGTCACATTATATATGATATGATATATACAATACATACAAACACACACTCTCATACACATGCAATAATCATCAGACAATAGTTAGGTGAAACGGAATAATTGTCTCTAATATACATACATATACACACATGAATTGATAGTGACAATATTTGGGTGAAATAATTTAAATTTGACTTATGCTTTTGATTCTAGTTGTTCTTCTTGTACTGGCTGCAACTCCTTGTGGCTCCCCTCTTTTTGTCGTACTCTCTTTGGTGATTTTCTTCTCTTTTTCTTTTTCTCCTATCTTATACTTTTCATCCATTCCTATATTTCTTTTTGTATTGATATTTCTGTTTTCCACCACTTCTAATACTTCCTTATCTTCTTCTTCGTTAACTTTACCCTCCAGATAATTTTGTTCTTCCAGATCCTCTACTGTATAGCTGCTCCCTTCAATTATGAGAAGGTTATTCCGCATAAATGCTTGTTGTCCATTTTCTCTAGCTTTTTTCAAATAAATTCTCAGTTTTTTCTGTATAGCGTAATCCTCGGGACTGTAATCTTCTGAAACGAAAATTCCAGTACCTTTGAGCTTCTTCACTTTGGCATAAATTTCTGTTTTCAACTTATAACTCAGTAATTCCACCAGGACCGGGCGATTTATGTTTTCTTTTGCCTTTCCAATTCGATGAAAATCGCGCAAGTCATTGAAGTTTGCTTTTATATCTAGGTGGGTATCGAGGATGTTCAAGAAGTTGTTTATATCTCCAATTTCATCTTGCTCTTCCTTGACACCATAGACAACTAGATTGAATTTTCTTATTTTTCTTTCAGTATTTATAAGTCTTTCTTTCAATTTTGTGTTTTCTTCTCGAAGGGCGAGATTTTCATCCTTCACGCTTTTTAGTTCTTCCAGTATTTCATTTCGGGTTGAACGAATTGCTTGTTTCAGTTCTTCTGTAGTTTTTGTGTTCGCAGCTACGGTTTCTTTCAACAGCTCATAGATTTGATTATTCGTTATTTCCATTCCAGATTTCACAAGAAACTAACTGAAATTAGTGCAGTTGATCTGCTCCCAACAGAACGGTAGCAAAAAGTTCGGTGTTTTGGTCCCGCTGCTAGTCCTCTTTGATGTATTTCCTGATTATAACGTTAATTCGATAATATTTCGAGCGTACCTTTAGCTTATCATGTGGGTATTATCCTCAAGAATATGTCACTGCACTTTTAAAATTTTAATAACGGTCACAAACTTTCAAATTCAACATTCATTTGTTATCGCGATAGAACAGTGCTGTATCAACTGCACGAAAACTACAACGTGATATATTATTGAATGGCGTTTTTGGTGCTGACCGAATTCAAAATTCAACAGTGAAAAGTGAATCGATATTTATGTATCAAGGGAATTATTATAAGGGCCTCAATTACGCTAGAGGTTATCGTTTGGAGATATTTTCTATATCGATCCATGTTACTTAGCTCCTAGGGCGCTGAGTGAAGTTGCTGAGAACTGTACAAAACCAAGTATTTGGTAGGTCTCGTCAAAATAAATTACTTTTTTCCTATGAAATCTTTATCGAAAAATGATTTGTTCTCTGTATTTCAACACCCTGTATCTACGAAATGAAGCATTTCCGGACACAAGCTTACATAGACTTTATTTCTTAAAATTGTCTCAGGAATACTTTACTGGAGTACAGTTTCACATACAATAAGGAATTATAGCTATAAGTATATCCATAAGTATATATTCTCTGATATTGAAATGTTGTTACATGCATTTTTTTCATTTATATAATAGTTGCTCTGCTAGAAGTGTATCACTATGAATTGAAGTGGGTGTTTGTACCCTATATCCACTGTCCATCTACGGCTATGATTGATTTGACAGAAAATATAACCTCTAAAATCGTATCTGACAATCAGGTGCTACTAGGTAAATTGAAAAGACAAAGAGCAGAATATATGTCTTATTCTTTTATTCACTTAAACCATTGTATTATAGAAAATAGAAAAGGACAAAAGTTCAGCTGTGTCCGAACTCTTATCAAACTAATACCATCCAGTGACTCTAATTGCCATATTGATTTACCGGTTATTGGGAGAGGTATATCTAGCTTTTTTATCATTCCAAATGGCTGGTGATTGGTCGGTTTTAGGGAATTGAAGAAATCTAATTGGATCTTGGAATAGGCATGTATTAATTTATAAAATAATAATGCTGAGTTTGCATTAGTATAACAACTCGTTCAGTCGATCCGCTTTCAGTAATAATCTTACTTTTTTCACTTAATTAGTTTGGACAAGTTCCTTATAATAGTAAAAAAACAGTAATTTACAACATTTTGCGCCATACAGAAGTTTCGTACCGTAAAATTATCTTCTACTTTGACATTTTTGTGAGTGATATTCAGTATTGAAAACGAGTCAAGACAAACGCGAAAGTGTCCACCTTGTATATTCAACTAACTCTTTGTGGGAAAAAAAATCCTCGAATACAGAAATTCGTCGCTGCGAGCAGAAAAACTTCGGCATTGGCCAATCGGGAGTTAGCATCGCGGTATCTCGTGGAATCTGTGAAAAACATTTCCATCGATATCGACAACTTTGGAGTTTTCGAGTTTTATTTGCGTGATGGCATGCACCAACATTCAATATCGTAATGGAGAGTTTGCCAATAGATTTCAGTTCATGAACAAAAATGAACTCTCAAATAAAACCATTCAGACTTTCGAAGTAATATTAGATGGTTATTGATCAGGGACAGTTATGAAATTCATGGTGAATTCAGAACGTCGTCTACACCGAATGAAGTTCGCATAATGATGATGATATTGGCCACGTTTATAACGTTATATGAATAATACACTCAAAGAAATAGTATGGGTTGAATTGACAAAAACATGTGTGACATGGGGCATGCAATGGGTGTAAGAGACTCCATCAATGACTGGTTAATTTCTTTTACCCAAAACCGCCGTATCATAGTTGATATTAACAACACACACTCAGGCGAACAAACTATTGAACTAGGAACACCTCAGGGCAGTGTTCTGGGACCGCTGCTGTTCTTGGTATATATAAACGACTTGCCCGATTTTTTTGAGGAGGGCGTGCCGTTCATATATGCTGATGACACGGCGGTGATAGTCTCAGGAAACTCACATGAGGAGGTTACCCACAGAGTTGAAGTAGCAATCAATCAGTTTGCACTATGGTGTGAAATCAACCATCTTGTAGTCAACCTGAAGAAAACCAGTTACTTGGAATTCACAGAAAAATACAAATCACCTACCATTAATCCAAGTATACCATTTGGTAATACAAATATACAGGCTGTCAACTCTTTCAATTTTCTGGGCATGCTTGTTGATTCAAAATTATCTTGGAATGATCAAATAAACCACCTTTGTAAAAAGCTCCAAAAAACTTATTTTGCCGTATTCTCTCTCAAAAAATATCTCAATGTTCAACGTCTACTATGCTCTAGCGTTCTCAACAATAATTTATAATTATAATAAAACATCGAATATTGACAGGGGTCAGCATTTACATATTGAAATTATTGTGTCACATCCATAAAAGCAAACACCATCTAAAGAAATGTTCAGAAATTCACAAATACACCACTAGAAATCACAATCATATTTATATGGAGAACTTTCATCATATGGAGTACAAAAAATCTCCGAAATATAGCGGGAGTCATCTCTACAACTTACTGCCTGAATCAATAAAAAATCAATCTCAGAAGAGATTCAAGACTAATCTTAAAAAAATTCTAACCTCAAATAGTTTCTATGATGTTTCTGAATTTCAAATGCATTTAACATCCATGAAATGATTACCACCTATATGTGCATTTTTCTAACTTAACGTTACATAACTAACTACATTATATTCTGCATCTGTCGCTAACCAGCCTAAAATGTATATATCTTTTAAATGTTATATTTTTTCTCGAATTACTTATGTATTGTGTTTCTTAAAATGTAACTGACGAACCTACATGTACATGGCAAATGGGTAATAAATGTTCTATATATTCTATTATATTCTATATACATCAATTTATCAGACTCGCACGTTTCTTATGAGAGTTCCTTGGTCAGTTTTCATAATTCAATGTCAACAAATGATTTGATTAACTTTATGTTTGTAAAACCCTCATGGTTCGAAATTTCTAATATACCGTATGTTCTACTCGTGACAAAACATAATGCTTCAACGTTGGAAAACAAAGATTGCTTTGATAGTCTGGAACTCCAATACACAGCTTGTTCAGAAATGTTTTTTCTTTGTGTCGATATATGCAGGCATTATCTGGTAATGGCACTCGATTGATTTGTTTGTACACGGAAACAATGCCTTTCTGGCTTGTGTTTGGCTGCAGGCAATACATTATCCCTCTCTTCTCGGAACCGCTATCGAAATATACAGGGTGTAATCTACTCAGAGGCGGATTAACCAGGAAGCAAAAGCGAGCGCTTCGGGCGCCAAGATTTGAGGGGCGCAAAATCATAGTTCATGAAATAGTAAAATATCAAAAATGGTAGCATTTGTAGAAAATATATTATCCGCAAGTCTGAAAAGTCGGAATATAGAATATAGGTAGCATGTACATGTGTAATCCAATGAATTATTTGGTAGATTCAATGAAATATTTGGTTAATTCAATGAACTATTTTGTTGATCCAATGGAATAATTCGTTGATCCAAGAAAAACGGTATTTCCATTCGACAAATTGTTTTGTTGAACCAAATTCAGTATTAACTCGCAAATTTTCTGAAATTTCACATCAATAGACTAGGAAACTATAGTCAACTTCTTGCATAGATCTCCAGTTTTTACTTCTTCAGCTGATACGAAACTATTTCGGATTGGGATTGCTAATCATCCTAAGTTCGATTTATCCAGCTGATATTTCAAACACGAATGTGGAAGTTAACGGAGTCATCTCTTCAACTAAATGCAAAATTAAACGTATGGTAGAAAAAGAAATGAAGTATCAGTCAATGTCTTCACGTTTGTCAGAGCATCTGTCTGAATAAAAGTAATTGAAATAATATATCTGCGTTTATATCGTATTGTACTCAAAGATAACTAGTACAAGTGGTCCTTCGAGCTAAGCCCAGTTGCCCAGAAAAGACAATTTGAAAAAACCGTGATGTCAGAAGAAAATAGACGACGTAGTCAAAGAGCGAATTTCGGGGTTCCTCCTCAAAGGCTTGGCGCTGAGAATATAGAAGGGTTTCCTGGGAATGCATTACAAGTTTCAGAAGTCCAGGAGATCCACAGCCATGTCCTTGAGAGATCTATAGCTGAGAACAAGACTTTATCTGTTAAGTCTGTAGCCTTATCTCGTGTGAGTAATCATAGTAGACTAGAAGAAATCCAAGCAAGAAAAATTGAGGTAGAGAAGAGATTGTTGCAGTTGGAGATGGCTCAACTAGCTGAGGAAGAAAAATCTATCAGACGATCACATTCTAGCGTGAGAGATCTAGAATTCAATGAAGAAAAAAATGATGATATTCACCTCCCTCCTGATGACATGAACTGTAAGTCATATGTAAATGCCTGGTTAGAAAATACAGAGCGAGAAAATCATACATCTCATCAACAAGATCATAATATTTCGAGAACATTGGTGGAATGTATGAAAGATTTAAATATGAATTTAAATAAAATTGTGACAAAACAGTCCGTCAGATCACTAGAAGATTTCAGTGGTGATATATCAGAATTTCCTTTCTGGCTGAAAGAGTTTCACAGAACTACTGAAGAGAAGCAAATATCTGATTCTGATAATTTGTATCGCCTGCAGAGATGTCTGAAAGGAAGTGCTCGTGAAGCTGTGAAAGAATTATTATGTAGCCCGGATAATATTACTAATATAATAAATAATTTGAAATTGAACTTTGGTAGAGAAGAATGGATTATTATAAATCAAATTGAGAAAGCTAAACGTTTTGGTAATCTCAAAGAAGATTCTTTAGAGAGTTTTATGCAATTTTCCAACGTTG